TTCCTGCTTTCTGCTGAATCCATGGGATGGAAAGCGAAAGCAAGGATAGCAGAGTTGGCATCTTACAGGTGACTTCCTTCTTGACTTCTGAATAATGCTGGGGATAGATTGGAGGGTTTAGAAAAATCTTTAGGCAGAAATCAGTAACACCTGTTGGTTTTACCCTTTAGCACTGTGCTGTGGGTCTCTTGCTTTGCCCCGTGTCCTGTGTTCCTGTTAAAGTAGCAGTTTCTCTCTCTCTGGTGCATCCTTGCCTGCTGTATTGGGTAGCAGGGACTCATCCTGAGCACTGTGGATTGATTCAGTTACTTCCCTGAGGCACTCCATGCTGTTTCATCAGGAGTAGCTGGCTTCGGTCTACTCCCCTTTTCTAAAATCTCAGCTGCAGAACCTCAACAGAAGTTTGGCTGCTTTACACATACTTTCCCCCATCTCCCAGTTGCACTATTTGATATGCTAGTTTTCTGGTTTTGTCTTTCAGATTGCTCTTTCAACCATACTCCCTTTCTGCTCTCCCAGAGTACTGTCAGGGTTGTGGCCAGGTGAGGGGCTTTATATGTGTTTCTCTCTTCTCCTCCCTTTTTTTATTTTAGACTTTGCTAGAATGCCAGGAAATCTTTTCTTGGGTGAATTTTGGAAGAGGAGGTAGAGGAATTATGTCTTGAAAACTACAGGAATCCTTTCCATTGAAAGTAGTATTGTTGTCTGGTCTTTAACTGTGTTCCCTATATTCTGCCATCTTACCCAGATTCTTTGTGTTTCATTTTTTTCTTGTACATCTTTTTCGTGTCCTGGTTCTTTACTCTGACTTTTAAATTTTTTTTGTATTATTTTGTAATAGTTAAATGTACCTGTCTCTTTAGGCATTAGGTAGTCATGCCACTACCCAGTTGGGTTTTTTGGGTGAAGTTCTTTACTCTGTTACTGTTGTCTTCCTCTTTGAATATTTTCCAAACCACAGCCCCCTTGAATTTTACACCCATTCCGGTTTCCCACGAGTTCTTTCTGACAGGGTTAGTTGTGAACACTCAGAGCTTTCTCTCATTACTTGCTCTGTAGCTTATTGCTTTTGAACAACGATGCTTTTAGAATGTCTTAATCCTCCTGTGGGTGTAAATCACTTGCTAGGGTTCCTAATTCCCATTGTAGGTGGTTTTCCAGTGTGTCTTTGGCCGTTTTGGAGTGAGTTTCTGAAAATCATCTGGGGTTTCTCAAACTAAGCTGGGCTGTTTCTCAATAAGAATAATTCTTATCCTGAAACAACTGAAAAATATTTTTCTTTTGCCAAACAGGTAAGATGGGAAGCATCTTCTACCTGAGATCCATGCTAACTGTGGACTACAACTCTATGATGAGCCATTAAACTTACCTGCTTATGGCTTAAAATAAATATGAGGGTTTATTTGGTAATTGAACTTCAACATTAATGTTAAGGGTTCAGGGTGTTCAAGTACAATAGAAATAATAGGTGCTTGAAATAGTCTATGAAAAGACAGAATCTTTTCTGTTGTCTTTGATTGAAAAGGAAAGGTGGTTGCTGCAGACAACAGGGGCTGGATTTGTTGGGCTCCTGGCAGAGGTTGCTGCCAGGCTCAGCCAAGGTGACAGAGGTGTCCCTGTGAAGTGAACTGAAAGGTGCTCGTGTTTCAAAGTGCTCACAGTTCTCACGTCCTAGAGCAAGCTGTTTGACCTGTGCAGGGAACATTTGAATGACTAAATAGGAGGAGAAAATGAAACCTGTGTGGACCAGTCTGACCTTGCAGGCTGGAGCCCTAAGGTCTGCCTGTGCTTTCAGCACATGCTGGTGGCCATAACGCCAAGAGAAAGCATTCCTCCACAAGAGCTTCTTGATTAACTCTGGAAGGCTCAGTTTTAGCTTCAATTATGTTTGTATCCCTTCAGTTATTTGAAAGAGTTTAAAATAGCCCAGCTTCCAGAGGCATTTGCATTTAAATGAGAAAAAAAAATAATTTAGAAGTTGGAACCGTGCTCACTTTGATTGTGTACATCTGTCCTCCTGTTTCCAAGAATTGCATCTCATACCCAATTTCTTTTGCAGTTTTGTTCAGTGGAGGGACTGCTGTATGTCAGCCATGCTAAAGGGCAAGTGATGGAGGCAAGTACTAGTTTATATATTCAGTTATCTAATACTGTTTTTTTGCCAGTTTCTCCTTTTGAACTGTTTTGTTTCCTAGGGCTGTTGTGAAATAATTGCACAAATTAAATACTATATTAGTATGTTTTGGGATGAAATAATGTTATAACACCTGCTCAGTGTGACTGTACATAGAATTCTGAATTTTGTCCTTGATGTATTGTATTCTCAAACGAGTAAGAAATGTGGTTTTTTGAACTTCATGCTATAAAGTGCTCCCATTTCCTCCTTCCAACAGATTATAAAGGCTGTTATAAGTGGAGAAAAAAACAAGCACAAAACTTGAATCCTAATGCAAGTAAATGGGTTAATTAATTCTTCTGATTCATAGTTTTTCACATTATGACTATTTTTTTCCCCAAAGGTAGATACTAGCACAAATAAGTAGTTAGGTGGATCTTTGTACCAGATACACAATTTCAAAAGCTCTTTCCAGGCTCACAACAGACTGATTGGAAATGTGAATAGAAGGGCCACCACAGAGCTCCCTGTAGGAGCCTCTTAAAGATAAGAGTGTAACTTCAGAGATCAGGCACAAGGCACACAGGGATAGTAGTGACTTGTCTGTGAGCCAGCTGTGGGCTGATCTGCTTCGGGATGGTTTGTAAATTGGCATAGGGCTAATTGAAGCAGGTTCATGGTTTCCAGCAGGTAATGCATGGGTCTCTAGTTAGACTGGAGTGGTGTTCTTTAAGATCAGCAGCGTTATCAGTAGTAATCTGGCTAGAAAGTGTTCAGGAGAGCAAAACCACACTGGTTAGAGGGTATCTTGGGCATCTTTGGTATGAACTGCAGTTCTGCAGTGAGTGCTGACTGAAAAAGGAATACTGAGGAATTCGTTAAGATGAACAAGGCAGTTATGGGTCACCTGTCAGGTTTGTATTTTATACGCCAGATAATTTTGGGATTCTTGCCTTTTAGACAGTGAGGTTTGTTCACTGAACCATTTGGTCTGTTGGATGAAAAAGGAAAATCTAGTTTTGCATTTTTTTTCTCCAAAACTTAAATTGAGTAGAGACCTGTAGTTCAACTTTCTGGCAAACCTGTTGCATAAGAAAAAAGAAATATAAAGAAAGAACAAGCTCAAAACCCAAAGCATAATACTAGTCACAAAGGCACTTGAAGTAATTTCAGAAAGTGTCAAGTATGTAAAACCAAAAGGTTGGTTGCTCTTTTTTTCCGTCATGCAATTTATGCACAAATGTGGGTAAATATATGACGTTTTTCTGGGATGTACTTTATTACTTTACATTTAAGGTATTATTAATTAAACTGGCCAATATAATTAGACTCAATGCTTCTACCATGTTCAAAGTACTGAGATAAAATCCTGTATGATTCCAGTGTTCTGCTTTTTCTGAGTACTGAATCCTATCTTGCCTCCAGCTGATTGCAGCGACATTTGAAAAAAAAGAGAGTGTGAGGCAGCTCTTTTGATATTTTTGGATGCCAATTTGGAAGGCATTTTGGAATATCTGTTTAACCCATTGTGTCAGGTTTTGGATGCAGAAAATCAAGAGCGTTCTAATGGTAACCTCAATGCATTATATTTCTGCAGCTGTTTTAAAATAAAAATGAATGCTCTCAAATCCCAAACATATGTTGCATTTCAAAGAAAATGTTTTTTTAAAGCACAGTCTGCTTTCTGCCAAGATTGAAGTAGACCTCTCTGATCTGACTTCATTATTTATAGAAGCCTAATCAAAGCTTTCTTCTGCAAGAAAACAATGATCAGCTTCTGAGCATGTGATCTCATGGTGCTGATGTGAAACTCTTTAGATACTGTGTCCTTCTCTCCTTCCTTTCTCATTCCTTTGCTGCAATTCTCCCATAGTGTGTTTCTGTATCAGTGCTCAGCTGCAGTGTCTACAAGCAGCTCCTGCCCAAGCCCTGCTGGTAAGTGAGATTGGGCTCTCCTGGAGGAAAGCTGCGTGTTTTCTCTGCTGGAGACTGAGCTATACATCCATGGTGCTGCTCCCTTTCAGATTGGTTGCTTAATGTACTTTTTAAAAGGCATTCTTGTTTTCTCTCAGAACTGTGGACAAGACTATGCCAATTGAAACCATTTCACTTGTCTGTTCTTGCTGGAAGGCGGATTTTCACATCTAGGTTCCAGGGCCATTGGCAGATGTTGGCAGTGATGTGCCATTTCTGACTATTTGGGAATGCATAACTGCTTTGGAAATGTTCTGTTTTCTTGCATACATTAGATACTGTGAAGTTAGGCATTCTATAGGAACATCAGGTAGGCAGAGCAGACATTACATTGGAAGCACAAAGTACCAGATCTTTGTCAAGGAACAAAATTAATTCTGCCAAAGAGACTAACATGCTCCTCATAATTTTAAGCTCATGTTCTGTTAGATATTATCTGGGCTTGTTCTTAATAAGCAAAACCCCACTATTTCCTCCTTGCTTCTCCCTCTTTTGAACAGCTTTTTTTCACCTTTCTTGCTTCCCTGTACCCTTTGTGCTGGGCTTCTTACCCTAGGCAATGAATGACCTGTCTCAGACAAGCTTTGGCTTCTGCATACAGCCTAGATGCAACTAATACCACATGGAGAGATGCTTGGAAAACTGATACATTTTGTTTTGTTAATGGCATGTTTTGAGAGTTGGATTTTTTTAACCCACTACTTTCTGCATGGATGTATAACAATGACTCTTTTGTTTGACATTAGATAAGCATGAGATCACCGTGGCACAGCTGCATGTGTAGTCACTCTTGAAGCAATTGCACACCTAATTGGCAGACAATCTTGGCATTTTTAGAACAACAACCTTTTAAAGACAGGGGACTTTTTTTTATATATGAGTAGTCAAATAAACCTGTTGGGTGTCATCAATGGAGCCCTCTGGCACTGAACAGTTGTGTGATGACCCTGATCCTGGAGGCAAATCCCAAGATCAAGAGACCAAAAAGCAACATGAATCAGAGCAAAAATTATCCAAAATAACCCATAATGCTTTGGAGAACATTAATGTGATTGGTCAAGGCTTGAAGCACCTTTTCCAGCATCAGCGCAGGAGGTCGTCAGTTTCTCCGCATGATATTCAGCAAGCTCAGGCTGATCTGGAGCCTGACATGGATTTGGAAAGCCAAAGCGTCTGTGCTGACATTGATGGTGTCTCCACCCACCCTACAGCTCTGAACCGGGTGCTCCAGCAGATCAGAGTGCCACCTAAAATGAAGCGAGGGACGAGCCTGCACAGCAGGCGGGGCAAGGCAGAGGCCCTGAAGGGAAGCCCGCAGATCAGCAGGAGGTCTGCCCAGGACATGCAGTCAGGTCGGCCCAGATCATCCTCGACTACAGATGCTCCCACAAACTTGTCCGTGATGGAGATTGCTTCTTCTATCTATGTAGGTGGAGAGGAGGCCACAGCAGCAGCAGTAAGTTACTCAGATTTACCTTTGGTCTTTATCATCTCCTTGTATGTTTTCTTAAGCCTTTTTAATCCTGTTTCTAAAAGCAAATTTCTTTCAGCAAACACTAATGCTACTGTGTTCAAAAGCTTCTTCAGTGGTGAAGTGAAGAGCCTAAAAGAGACAAGCATTAGTCATTTTCTCACATGGCAGGTGGCTTATTTTATATGTATTTGATCAGTGAAATGAGAGCTACTTTGGAAACACGTTACGATGGTTGGATGGCACAGCACAGCCAAGCAGGGAGTGATGGGAAGAGCAGCAGCCAGAGTAGTCCTCCTTAGCAGCTGTTCTGTGGTTCCTGCAACAAAACCTTGCATTTTTGTAGATGGCTTTCTTCTTTCTCCTCTTGTTTTGTTGTTTATTTTCTGCAAGTGAGGAATTCCAGTTTGAGTGAGCGGTGCTGCTGATCTTTTCACGCTGTGGAGAGGCTCTGGCTGCAGCCTGTGACTGAGCTGCAGTGCCAGGTGTCTGACCCTGGTTTAGAGGTGATATGGGATCCCTGCTCTGCCTCTTTGTTTGTCTGGCCTGTGGAAAAAGTGTTCACCAAAATGCCAGTCTCTGTGTACTGGTTTATTGAGGATAGCAAGAAGTGGTTTTTGTCTCACCACCTCTTTTCTTTCCCAGATCAGTTTAGTTGAAGCACTCCCTTTATTTGAAAAACTAGATTTCTGACTTAACTTTAGCTACAACCCATGTTTTCCTGAAATTCTTTGCAGCTTCTTCAGTGGAGGACAGACCCTTTGATAAAGATAGGAAGCACTGTGAAACAGATTTCTGGTTTGTGTACTTTCAATTAAAGAGTGTCTGACCATGATTCTTTGAGCAAGAGAAACAATCCAGTGTTTAATACTGTTGAAATAGAATAGTCCTGAAACTGATGTGTATTTTTCATTATGAAAATTTGTTCTCATATACCACAGTTTCTTTGATGCTGGTTAGATGACTGGGTTGAGGCTGAATAAAATCTCCTCAGTCATCCCGAAGCTGTCCCACCTTGTTCTTGCAACAAGTCTGTTCCCTTGTATGTGTTCCTCCCCTGGCAGTCTACTTTGAAATACTCCAAACGAAAACCTTTTCAGAGTATTTGGCAGTATAATATGCTTTCAGTGTATTTTCCTGATAGTCATCTGGAAATTAGCATATCTTGCATTTATAAATGGTAATTACAAAGTATTAGCAGAAATTACAATGTCATTCTAAGGCAGTAAGTAAAGTTTCCTCTTGGGAGAAAGTCTGAGGTTTTTGTTTCGTAGCAGCAGTTAAAAGAACAGAAATACTAATAAAGTAGTTAGGAAAAACATACTCTTTCCTGGGATGGGTTAATTTTGCAATTGAGCCATATCAGTTGAGCCATTAAGAGGCCTCAAAAAGACACTTGATAACTTCAGGTTTATTTGCTTACTGGCTCTCTTTGTGAGTGAACTCACAATACTTGTTTCAGGAAGGTTTTGGGGAAAGGTTGGGTTAAGCCTCTTTTAAAGGTACTTAGAATGCAATGAATCTAGTTCCTGGTATATAGGCTGTCCAACTGGTGCCAAACTCCACTATCCATTGGGACAGTGTTCTTTTTTGCCATGCTGAAGGCATAAGCAGCCAGAGCAGGAGACAGAGGTGAAAGGGGCGCTGCAGCAAGGGAGAATCTTCCTTTCACAGGGCTTCACAGCCTGGAGAAGGTTCCAGGGAGACCTTGGAGCACCTTCCAGTGCCTGAAGGGGCTCCAGGAAAGCTGGGGAGGGACTTTTTACCAGAGGGGTAGAAATAGGACAGGGGGTGATGGTTTTAAACTGCAAGAGGGGAGATTTAGGTTAGACATCAGGAAGAAGTTCTTCACCATGAGGGTAGTAAGGTGCTGGAATAGGTTGCCCAGGGAAGTTGTGGCTTCCCCCTCCCTGAAGGTGTTCGAGGGCAGGTTGGACGAGGCTTGTGCAGCCTGGTCTGGTGGGAGGTGTCCCTGCTCATAGCAGGGGGTTGCAACCTGATGTCTTTAAGGTCCCTGGTAACGCATCCAGGCTATTTCTATATCTTCTGTTCCTTGCAGAGTCAAGCCCTGAGCTTTGTCCTCCATGTAACAGGTCAGTTTTCAGCTCTCTGCTGATTAGATACACCTACACTTTTTCCTTTTCATGCTTATAACCCCATTACATCCTCCACATTAAACACACTACCAGGGAGCTCAGGAAGTTAATCTCTTCAAAATACTGGATTGTTAACCCAAGAGGGTTTTCCATTTGGTTGGTTTGGATTTTTAACTCCTTCCTATGCTTTATGTGTGGCTGCTGCAGAGTTTTGGAGGCTAGAGTCTCCATTTCTTGTTTGTTCTGCAAAGCCCCTCAAACAGGGACTCGGCGAGGTCAGTGCTGCTGGCAAAGGCAGGAGCTGCTTGCTCACTGTCCTGGTTCAGTTTAGAAGAGCTTCTCTGACTGTGCAAACAGAAGAGTAATAAAATCTCTTCTGTATCTTTACAGCACTAGTTTATGTGAAGAGCAGGGTTAAGCCTGGGGCAGCTGTTAGTTTTTCAAGGGGTGGAATAGACCCTTTTCAGGTAAATGTGGAAAACTTTGGTACTATTTTTACTTTACTTGTAGGTTGATGTTGTAAGCATTAACTCATGTTTGTATGGCTCTCCAAAATAATAAATGCTGGATGAGCCCGATTCTGTGTGGTGCTGAGATCCTCTGCTCCCAGTGGGAATTAAGGACATTGAGTACTTTGTGGCGTAAGGGAGAGTAAATTCTTAATAATCCTCTGCACACAAAATATTTTTAGTTCACAGTATTGTTCCATTCTCTGTTCTCTCAATTTGTTATTGAAATAGAAGGGCAAAATGTTATTCCAAACCCACAGATTGGATTTGCTCTAACACCTCATTTACATACATTTGTATGTGTAATAATCTTGCTGCATGTTGCCAGGCTTTCTACAGAAACTGAGAAATAAGATTGTCACAGCATGGAAAATAATGTAATAATTAAAGTCTTACTGAGGCACTTCACTTGGTCTTGTATTTCTAGCAGTCTACATTTAAATATTCTTGTGCAAATCTTTTCTTGTAGAGGCAGCTCACTGATCTGAGAAATCAGAAACGTGGTGGTTGGAAAAGGACTGAGCCTGCGTGGATCTGATTTTGTTACACTGTACTTTCACAGTTTTTTGTGGGGTAACGAGTTACATGTGAAGACATGGAACAACAGAACAATCTTCAGGTTCTGGAGTAGCAGAACTTGGGGGAGAATCTGTGTTGGAATGAACTGCATTGTATAGACTTCTGTGCTGGAATAATTAAGCCCTTTTACATTGTTAGGTTTTTTATTGAAAAAATACAAAATCAATTTTACTGAAATATAAATTATTACAAATGTGCGACACCTTGGGGTTTTTTTACTGCTGAGAACGTTATGTGGTTTGGTGTCATCTGAACTTGGAGGCCAAGCTCTGGTGTTAGAGCAGGATGGCAGGGAGGTATTCATTCGGGGGTTTTGTGCAGTGAGTGGTTGGTTGTAGAGCTGATGAAAGTCCTTGGCTGACACCTTCTGGTGTCACTGAGAAGGCAGACTAACCTGAATTAGTTTAGCATTAAGTTGTTTAGTGGATTTGCACCTTTTTGCCTTCACAGACCCAAACATTTCCAGTTACCATTTGCTTGCCCTCAGGGTTACATGAATGATAGGAAAAGGGATTTGCTGTCCTGCCATGAGATCCCTGCAGGGCAGCTTTCCAAGCACCACTCGCTCCACTTCTGCTGTGTCCTGATGGGACTGCCTGTGTCCTCATCCTCTTAGCAGTTTTGACAATCAGATGGCATAAGTATTTCAGATATTTTTGGATTTTACTTAACAGCTTAAGTCTATATTCTGTTACTCTCCACATTTAGGAAAATTACCTTATATGCTTCTGGAAAAACAGCTTCCAGTCTTAGATTGCAAGCTCCTCAATGTTTTCCAGTCATGATGGTGACCCCCTGAGTATCAAAAACCAACTGACAGTAAGCTTGCTTTCCTTCTCATGGTGCTTTTTAAGGGGTCTCACTGGTCTGTGAACAACCTATTAGCATAAACAAAGCAGCATGTTCAGCTGTGGCACCCTTTCAGTACATACAGCAGAGTTGTGGAAGAGTGAACAGTTTCTCTCTGGCTGTAAATAGTCTTTAAAGCAGTCATTTATTTGCCAGAAACATTTTTCACCAACTCTTTTGTCCTAAATACCACACCATACACTTGGGGCAACCACCTGGGAGCATGGTATACAAGAAACCGGATGGATTGGTGTGTGAGGAGCATTTCAAGACAACAGCAATTTATGCTCAGTCTGGAAGCTGGTGCTGTAAGCAGCTGGTGCTGCAAACAGCTGGAGCTGCAGGGCTGCCTGTGGCTGACAGCCAGCCTGGCCTCCTGCTGCTGGTGCTTCCCGCGGGGATTGGGTTGCATGGTTTGCATCTCCTGACAAGATAAGATACTGGCAGGTCACTTTAATAGTGTAATTGCAGATCGAGCTATATCAGGAGTAGGCTGAGGGTTGTTTTGCAAGCTCAGAAATTAATCTTTAGGTCCTTAATTGCTCTGGAAGACCATGTTGTACCAGGCACTTCTTCTCCCTGGCTGTTAGCAGGGACTTTTGTGGAGCACAAGAGTGGCCATGGGCTCAAAGTCTTGTTTATGGGCAAAGGAGACAAACGTTACAAATAAGGAGAGCCAAGAGTTTAATATTGGTATGGCTGAAATGTTAAGGGTCTAATAATTATTAGTCCAGATCTCAGTGTTACACAAAAATAAATAACAATGCTGTTAAAATTGTTTTATACACACACTAGTTAGTCTATAAGCCCTTTGGGTTATGCTCACCCTTCCACTGCTCCTGTGTCCTGCAGTTGGTGGTTCCATTCTGATCAGGCTGGAGGTGTGTGGGCTGGAGTCCTTCACTGGGAGGAATTCAGTGTTCAAGATGATGGTTTCTTCTTCCTCACCCTA